TGTTTCACCTTGCATGTTTTGACTTCCAGAATAATTGAGTTTATTAAGAATAATCGAATTATTCAAACGGGCCACAGTCGTTCATATGTTGGAAGTAGATATGAATGAAGACTGTCGTGAATTGGTGTGTGGATTGTCTAAAGAGTATTAGACATAAGCAAATGTTTGCTGCAACGTTCATGAGTGCTTATGAATATGATTTGAGCATTGGATTAAACCCACGCTCACTTGGATCACTCCATGAATTGTATTACGAGTGATTGGTGAGACGATAACATCTTATATTCTTGAAACCGAGATGTGTGAGTTGTATCTTGCGAATCGGTTGCACATTGATAATATGTAAACGCACCAGTAACTTGGTGTTATAAAACATATTGTTGTGTGTAATTCGGTGAGTGAGTGCAAGCAAGCATTGTATCAAAGTTTATCCGTTCCTTTTATCCAAAGTAGGATAAAAGCGATATCTTTGGGCCCCTCGATGGTTTAGTGATGACATACGTAAATGCTCGGCCGGGCTAGGGCTAATTTGATTTGTTCAATTAGTCTGTCGTCATAAATCGGAAATCGAGAAGTAGTACAAAGAGAATGATTTGAAATCATATCTCATACGATATCTAGAATGGAGGAATATATGATCCCTTATCTAAGGACACGCGTATCTGATATGATCAGAGTTGACAGCGGCTTTGGAAAGCTACGATTGCAGATCAGGATCTGAAGTCATACGCAGAATAGTTGTTAGACTTATCCAAGTGGGAGACTGTTGGATTAGTGTCTAAGTCCATAACTATTTTGGTATGTACTTGACCCGATGGTGCATGGTCCTTTTGGGTTGCCTTCACCAAAGCAACTTGATTGGAGAAATGAATAAAGAGAGAGAGGATAATATGATTTATTAATATGTTATAAGAATAATATATTAAAGGAGAAATCATATTTGTTTAATTAATATTGGTCAATAATTAATTAAGAATTAGTTTTGTGATCAAATGTAATTAATTAAACTAGAGGGGCTGAATTGTAATTATGTGATAGTTACAAAATAAGGTAAGGATTATCTTATATATATGGTGAACGAATTTGAGGTGTAAATCCCTTAGAATTCGAGTATGATAAGGATTCAAGGATTATCTTATTGGTTGCTTAATGGATAATCAACTAGATAAGGATAATGACTGAAACCCTATCTCTACACCTATATAAACACCCCTAGGGCCATGAATTCGTGTATCCCTTCCCAAGAGGTCCTAGATACGAATTCTAACCTCTCACTTCTCTCTTTATACCTTCTCCATTTGCTTATGGTGTTTGTGAGCCATTAGAGGAGTGACACTTGTGACTCTATGCATTCCAAAGTCAATACAAGGAGGAATTGGGATTGTTATTACTACATAACAATCAAGGTATGTTCTTAAACCTAATTACATGTTAATATGATTACTTGCATGCTAGAATTAGGGTTTATAGTCTTGGATTCAAAGCATGTACAATAGAGAAACCTAGATCCAAGCATTAGGGTTTGTATGAGCACATAGGATGTCTTATGACCAAAAACCCAACATGATATTGGTGAGATTCCAATTAATTACAGAAGTTGATGCTTGAAGAACAGACCACAAAATTGAAACAGACCACGTTATTCTTTTAGAATGTATTAGTCATTGTAATTCTTAACAATTGTTACCCGTATTCTATAAGAAATAATCTATTTTTTATTTTTATTCTTCAATTGATTGTTTAAGAATTTGTTATTCTACATGAAGTTCTTAAAGTTATGATCAAGAAATAGGTTCAAGAATATTTTTATTATTTATTGTTCAAGAATATTTTTATTTTTAAATAAAAAATTAAATAAATAAACATATTTTGTTAGAATGTCTGAATTAAAATAGTTATAATTTGTAAAATCAGATTTTTAAAATTAATAGAATCTATGACCCCTTAAAATATGCATTTTTCCTTAATTAAATATATATTAATTTACTAAAATACCCTTTTATTAAATTAGATGATATTTTTCAATTATATTTAATTCAATAATATATATTAATCGCTTTCTGAAAATAAGTAAAATTGATTGGCATACAGTTATGCATACCATAACACAATAATTACTTTGAATAGAATACCTAGGCCTATATATATATATATATATATATATATATATATATATATATATATATATATATATATATATATATATATATATATATATATATATATATAGGGAGAATTTCATATATGTTTTTCTTAAACATCAAAATATCATATTTATCAAACTTAATTTCTAAATATCATATTTACCCTTCATAAAATTTCTAAATATCATATTTACCTTTCATAAATTTCAAAATATCATATATGTCATTTTTAAACATTAAAATATCATATATGCCATTCTTAAGTATCAAAATATCGTATATGCACTTTTTGAACATCAAAATATCAATGATAATATCTAAAATAGCATTCATCTACAACACAATAATAATCAACAACAACAAAAACTAAACAATCAAAATATACATTCCATAGAAAGGGTTGAAGATAAATCTTTTTGTCTGTCAAGAGGCTAACATTCCAAGAATCTAGAAGTTTACATTCTATTATCATAGACATAAGGGTAATATGGTTAAATTTCTTAATTATTATAATAATTATAAGGTATAAAAATGATTATAAAATATTAAAAAAGTTATAAATTTTTTTGGGCAAATATGATATTTTGAAGGTTTATGAAAAATAAATATGTTATTGGAAAACTAAGGTGGATAAATATGATATTTTGAAGTTTACAAAGTCTAAAAGTATTATATTGTTGCCAAACATTTTCTTTAACATGTTTACTATTTTTCTACGGTTTTATAAAAAACAGTTTTAATCAATGTAATTACGAAAATAAAGAAAAGGAAAACCTCAACAAAAGGAAGGTCAAGTCATCAGCCAAAATCAATTATTTTATGCACGGAAAAATGACTTGCGAGAATAATTACATTTTCATCTTGTTCACATTTAGGTAAATTTATCTTTTTGTACACATTTGACAATTTAATTTGTTAAATGTGTTCCCATATTATCATTGTCACTTGCTATAGTAGATGACAATGGTAATATGTGAATATATTTAACAAGTTAAATGGTCAAATGTGTAACAAAAAACAAAGTTGTCTAAATATGAGTAATTTTTTTGTACAAATTTCTTAAATTTTTTTATAATTTTTTATAACATTTTTATGATATCTTTTTCTTATAGTTTTTTCTAATACAATGTTTTAAACTTTGCTTATATTTTTTTTTAACTTTTTTTTATACTTTCATATAATTTTTATACAAGTGCTTTTAAACCAAATATTTTATAAATGTTTTAAATTTTCTTACAAGTTTTTAACTTATATTTTTTTATTATTTTTTTTTTTTTACATTTTCATACAATTTTTTATAATTTCCATACATTTATTGCTAAACTTTATTTTATAACATTTTTAATGTGTTTCACAGATTTTGTATCACAATTTAATATTTTTTTTATAACAATTTAAAAAGCTTCATTAAATACCAGTTTAAAATGTTGTATTAAAATAATTAAAAGTTTATAAACTTCTAATTAAAAAGTATTAAAAAGTTGGAATAACTATACGTCAGTTACATTATATAGATTTTTTTTTGTTTTTCTATTTGTTAAGTAATATGTTGTTTTGATTTTTTAAAAGACTCTCCATACTTATTATTACATATTTAATTTATTTAATTTTATTGCTATATACTATTTACATTAAAAATATTGTATATGCTTAAAAAGAACATAAAAAATATAAGAGGCTATAGAAAATATTTCACAAAACAAACATATTTATTAATTAAAAAGTAAAATTTAAAATTGATTAATATTTAATTAATATTTAGAAAATTATTGATATTTTAAAAATAATGTTTGAAAATAATAATAAAAACAATTATGAAAAATAAAATAGTTATTAAAAATGGGAAAAATAACTTATCCGAGTAATTAACTTTTCGTTTTGTTCACATTATTCAACTTTCTTTTTTTGTATACATTTAACCATTTAAGTTGTTAATTTTTTCACATATTACCATATGTTATACCCGGTGACAATGAAAATATGTGAACATATATAACAAATTAAATGGTCAAATATATATACAAAAATACAAAAGATACATAAGTATGAACAAAACAACAAAAATAATTACCCTTATAAGTGATTTTCCCTTTATACACCATTTCTTTTTTCTTGTTATCAAATACCATTTACATAAAAGATTTATCGAATTATCAATATTTTAAAAACAGAGAAGAATAAAACTTCAAAACTACATATAGTTAATTATTTCTTGTGTAGGATAATTATACTACTAACTGCATATATTAAGTATATGTAATTTGTTTTTTTATAAAGAAAAAAAAATTAACCTTGAATAGTTAAATTCATTCTATATATATTGTAATATTCAAAGTCAAAAAGTACTTATTTTCGGATGAAGATAGTATAAAACATGTTCCATCACCGCGTATTACACCTGGACACACATGACGTAAGTGTAAGAGAGTGAAAGAGAAAGAGGGGAAGGTGGTTCTCTTCTTATTTTGCTTACGCAACATATTTTGTTTTTATACGGCGACTGTTTGGGTCCACTGCCATGTGTGTAGCCATATAAGTAAATTTTGAAACCATGTTTATGCACATAACCAAGAAGTTCTTTAACTTTAAATTGGAGCTTTCATCTCGAAATAAAAAGCATAGCATCTCGAACATGATAACAACTGAAGAAAATCATAGCAACGAAAACTGAGGTTCCATTGTGTATGTGTTTGTATATAAGAGTAGTTCAGATTAGTTAACTTTTTGTTTCAACTTCTTCTTCAACATCTCCTTCTAAATTATAACTAAATTAGTGACTTTTTTTGCTAGTTTGTAGCTTTAGTCAATAGTTTCATTGCTTATCAGTTGCTAGCATAGAAGAACGCTTGTGAAGACATGGCTTCAGGCTCATCTTTTTCATCAATGCCGCTGTTTGGGAACACGAATGAAGAAGATCATTTCAACGAAGCCAACAACATTCAACAAGATACTCATGGAGTGTCACAAACTCAACCTCAAACTGTTCGCCACAAGAAGCGAAGAAACACACCAAAATTCCCATGCAAGTTCTTCAAAATTTTTAGTCATATATATATGATATACATATATCCTTCAAAAAGAATTCATTTGTTTGTTTAAATGAAAACGAAAAACATGTACAAACAAAAGCATTTTCAACTGTTTTCTCTCCTTTCCCGTATCTTTCTTGAAAACGGAAAAAGAAAAAAAACCCTTGATTTGGAGGAAACCTTTTTGGTAAAAGAAAACAAACAAAAAACAGATCTGTCTTTTTCTATGACCAATTTTACTTTATGATACACTTTAGTTTATACAACAAATGATTAATATCTAAATTTTAACTTTTTGTGCAGTGGTGATAGATTCGGATGTTGAGGTTATAGCACTATCTCCTGCCACCTTAATGGCAAAAAACAGGTTTGTTTGTGAGGTATGCTACAAAGGGTTCCCAAGAGACCAAAACTTGCAACTTCACAAAAGGGGACACAATTTGCCATGGAAACTTAAGCAGAAGAGTGCAACGGATGATTTGAAAAGAAAGGTGTATGTGTGTCCTGAGCCTACTTGTGTCAACCATGAGCCTTCTCATGCTCTTGGAGACCTCACTGGCATCAAGAAACACTATTCACGAAAGCATGGTGAAAGGAAATACAAGTGCCAAAAGTGTGAAAAAATGTATGCAGTCAATTCTGATTTGAAAGCGCATTCAAAGACTTGTGGCACCAAAGAATATCCATGCCATTGTGGTACTGTCTTCGGAAGGTATAACTTTGATTACTTAATATAATTCCTTTTGTGTTTCAAAAAGATAAGAAAAAAAAAATATTGTTCCCGTTTTATCTTTGATCAAACAAATGGATTTTAGTTTTTATTCAATCAAAATAGGTTCCACAGTTGCACTTAAATCGTAACTTGTATGTTTCGGTATTTGATGCAGTTAACCCACTATAGGTCCTATATTAATTAATGAGTCAGTTCTTTCAAATCAGATAAACCGATTTAATTTTATCTTTTATGCAAGATTTTTTCAGTTTTTTATCATTGTTTTTTTTTTTTTTTTTTTTTTAGCTCGATTTGGGTCTAGTCGTTGGATGTCTCTGGTATTGATTGCTGAAGAACTATCATTATTATATATTAGTTGTCATACTTTAATATTTATAGATTTCCAACAAAAAATGTTTGACTTTAAATTCGTATATATTTATGTACACTTTTAAGAATAATTTGTAGCAATGCACATAAATATAACTTAAAATATAAAATATGCTTTACAAAAAGAAACAAAAGTTAGAAAAATCGCATATGTTGAGAATAGTTTTTATAAACAAAAATTCGAGATCAAAAAACAAAACAAGAAATGGGATAACATTTTTGTTTATATTTTGCTATTAAGCTTTTTTTTTTTTTTTCATTTAATTGGTAATTAATTAGTTCATCTATATATATATATATATATATATATATATATATATATATATATATATATATATATATATATATATATATATATATTTATTTATTTATTTATTTATTTATTTATTTATTTATTTATATTCTCAAAGGGATGCACTATTATTTTACCAATTAAATACTTATTCAATAAGTTTAATTTAATATTAGGGAGTTGTTTGGTTTTCTCTAACGATGGTAAGGGATGAAAGAAGAAAGAAAGATAAAAACTGCATTTTGGTACCTTGTTATATAGTTCATTATGTGTTTTCACATCACAAAGTTATATATTAGATCTTGTCACATATATGTGTATTTAAAATCATGCCATGTGACTTCATAAACCCTAAATTTTAGTACTAATAGGTTCTGAGTAAGTGCGACAAATGACCACTGATTCTTGTGCCATTTTTATATAACAAGAACAACTAGCGACATACGTACGTTACTAATTGTCAGGATCCTGTATTCTGATTTGAATAACATCTTTGTAAAATACAAAAGTTCGAATACTATCAAATTCCAACATTGGACTCATCTCATCTAATCATTCCATATTACCATTTATTTTGCAGGCGTGACAGCTTCATCAATCATAGGGCATATTGTGAGGCATTGGCTGAAGGGATAACAACCATAGGTTCCAGGGGAGTGACGTCATTCAAAAGCTCCCGCAACCATAATCAACCTAGCCAGATGAATACAACTTCGCCTCAATTGGGTCCACAACTTCCCTCGACTCAAAACCTGATCAAAACCTCCATTAACACGAACTACTATAAGCCCACTCCCGCTTTGTTTGGGCCATCATCAAATCAAAACAACCCTATAAATTCTCCGAACAACACAATAACCAATCTTGTGAACAACACAAGCACACTACCTAACAACATGCAACTCTACAATCTCAGTATGATGGGAAACCCTATAAATTCTGGAAGTGGTGAGGGATTAAGTTTGTTCTCAAGTGGTAGCTTTGTGTCACATCACTCTACTTCACTTTATTTTTCATCACATACAGAAACTATGCGCCAACACCTTTCAGCGACTGGAACGCTTCAGAAGGCTGGAATATTTGGATCAACATCTGGCACCAACAACTTTACCGACTTTACCCGAGGGATATATACAAGTTCTTCGTCTACTGGTGGTGTTAGTGGAACTAATTCTGAGAAGGGAAGATTTCTTTTCCGCAGTGGCCATTTTTCTGGTAGCAATGATGAGCATTATAGCAACATGAATGAGCTTCTGAACTCTTTCAGCGGTAGTGGTGTCGGGTCCTCTGTTTTCAATCGGCATACTGGTGCAAGTAATGCGCAAGAGGATGGGTATCAAGGTGGCGTTGAGAGCGGTGGTGGTGGTTGTGATGAGGAGTGGAAAAAGTTGAACTCTGTAGAAGAGGAGCCACCTCAAAACTCTAATTTTAACATGGGTTTGGAGCAATTCAGTGGTGGGAAAACGACCAGAGACTTTCTTGGTGTTGGAGGGGAGATAGTAGGCGACATAAGCAGCGATGGAGCTAAAAGCACTTTTGCAGTACGAAGCTTTCTGTAATAGGGAAAGTGCTTTAAACGACTTTCTTTTGTTTTAGAGGAAATAATTAAGTTTGTTTGTTTGTTTTTTTTTTTTTTTATGTTTTACGAAATGTTGTTGTGAAAAGGACTATGTAGGACTTCGTTCCGGTTGATGTCTTTTCATCTTTGCTTTGAATAAAATGATAGACTGCTATTATGTAAGATTTGATGATTGCATTAGATAGGATATATATGAATGTAGGGTAATTATAAAATCTATTTATAGTCTGAATGAACTTATTCAAAAGTTACTTCAGTTTCCCATAGTTAGTTTATGGATTAGGAAGGCTTCTTTGAACTAACGCCAGTTCAAGGTTGATCGGTGTAAGAAATATGGGCATGGTGACATGTCCAAGCATATCTTCACCATCGGTATTCCAGAAGATTTCCTCATTAGTATATATATATATATATATATATATATATATATATATAATATATATATATATATATATATATATATATATATATATATATATATATATATATATATATATATATATATATATATACCCATTTCTATCTTATAAAGGGGAATTAATCGATTCTGAAGTTTCATATTCGATTTTTGAGAGTCCTTTTGTACGAAATCGATGTGTGAGTCGCTATAAAAAATATAGGTATTTCCAGAGACATATCGCCGCTATTACGTCGCCGCGAATAGTGTGTCGCTAAAGGACTTTTATCACTGATAATAGCGGGCTGGTAATGCTATTTTTTTTTTTTTTAAATAATTTTGCTAAAGTATTTAATAAAAATCTATAGATTGCACTAACAAAATTGTATAAAATACATAATAGATAATCCACATTGTCAACATAAACAACTAATTAATAAAAATCCGATGTTAAAGTAGTTAGTCATTAACAAACGTTCAACATACTTAACATAAGCTAAATAATCAACATTGCCGTCCTTGGGCCCATTAGTCTCCTTCTTCATCTCCGTCATCTCAGCCACATCCTTTTTTTTGACATTGATTGAAACAACTTAAAAAGTTTCTTACTATATGTTGGTTTTTTTTATAATAGCATCAGCAGAAACGTCTACCAACAAAATAAATTTGAAAATTAATAATAACATTTTAATTGTCAACATACCAAAATATCAATAAATATAAACCAAAATATAGGATAACAAACTTCCAATTATCACTTAAAGACACATGCAACCTATAAAAGATATGAGTACGAATTGACCTTTGGATTGGATGTAAGATCGACAGATGGGGTGCAGTTTGGAAAAATGACGCGCATCCTGATTTTATAGTAATACCAACGACGGTATTACCAGTCACATGGACATTAACAATGCCATGTTTTCTATGTCACAGGTAATACGGTCGTATGTATTACTTGGATTACTACAATTGTAGTATGAACATCAACACCTTGATCAATGTGTAATAGGAATTAAGTGTATTCATTGGTTCCTTTACCTGCCATTTCATAATTAATTTTAAGAACCACCTTAATATTTCTCTTTCCATGAAAAGTTTTGCTTTGCTTTTGTACTCTTTTCATCTTGCTTGCTACTTGCTAGTTGGGGGTTCATTTTAATAATATTTGTGGTTTCCAAAAAAAATATTAATGAAATTATTGTTAACGTATATGCCCACCACACATGAGTGGAATAATAATTAATTATATGAATCTATTTAGGTTCAACTAGAAAATAAAAATAACTAATTAGATTTAATTAATTTGTTATTTGTTATTATTTATTCATCAAGAAATACTATAAATTAATTAATATGACTATGTCTAATAAGGTTAAGGAAGATTGATAATACTTCTAACATATTGTCACATCAGTTTTTTGAGTGTCACATCTTATCTTAACATTTGGTAGAGAGTAGTAACACTCCTAACATTCAATTTTTTATTTTCTTTTTCTAATTTAATTTAATTAGTTTATGTTAATAAACAAACATTTTTTTAATATTACACAAACATTTTTTTGATTGAAGTAATATGACATAATTTTTTTTAATGGCACACTTCATATTAACATTCGACAGAAACATAGTTTTCCTTTTATACCAGTATGCTCACAGCATGTATTTTAACTTTCATATGATAAAATATTTTTAGTTTTCTAGCTTGAGCAATACGAAACATGAGATCGATACTAATAATTACATGACAATATGGCATGGGTTATTGCCACTTCATCTTCCACATTAGCATTAGCAGGATGTCACAAAACATTGATAATATCCCATATTTTTTAATGTTTCCATGTTAGTCAAGACTAAAGCACACCAAGACACATTTATCCATTTTGCAAGAGAATGACATAAGTATCCATACAAGAAGAAGCACTGAGATTACAAACAAAAAACAAGGCTACTAAACTATTTAAATGTAATATGAAATTGTTGAATTCGAAAGAAATAAGGTTTAGAGACTAGTTGCAAAACTTGATTATGTCTCGGTTATAGGTAAGGTTTTAAATAACGTAAGGCGTGACTTAGCGGTAATGTCAAGCCTCAAGCTTTTCCAAGCTTTGGCGACTCAAATCGTTTGTAAGGCATGACTTAAGGTGATAATTTTGTATATAATTCATATTTTTATATGTATTTTCAACTAGTATTTATGTTTATACACATATATAAGTCAAGGCGGCGTTTCGGTAAAGTTTGGCGGCACATACAAGCCTTGGAGCCATGTTGCGCCATGGCGGAGCCATGATGAGCTTTTTAGAACCTTGGTTATAGGTTTAAGATGGATTTTTATAAATAAAACTGACAAAGAAGGAATTATGGTTCGAAACAAAGCAAGGTTAGTTGTTAAGGTATATTCGCAACAAGCAGGTATTCACTATGATGAGACCTTTGCCCTTGTCGCAAGACTCGACGTTGTTCGAATATTTCTTGCTTATGTAGCACACAAATACATCAATGTTTATCAAATGGATATCAAGTGCGCTATTCTCAATATACTATTAGAAGAGAGTGTATATGTTGAGCAACCACCAGGTTTCATAAATGATATATATCCTAATCATTATTATATTATCGATAAAGCTGTTTATGGTTTAAAACAATCACCTCGAGCCTGTTATGCAACTCTAGCTAATTTCTTGGAACTCTCAAAATTTAATCAATGATCTTTTGATCCCACTATATTTCGAAAGAAAGTGGGGGATCACTTGATGCTCGTTCAAATTTATGTATATGACATTAGTTTTGGTTATACTGACCCTTAATTGTCCAGTGAATTTGAGAATATGATGAAAAGTCAATTGCAAATGAGTATGATGGGAAAGTGTAATAATTTTCTGGGATTGAATATTTGTCAAAGCATAGATGGAATTTTCATAAATCAAGAGAAGTATTCTCAAAATCTTCTTGAGAAGTTTGGCATGACGAATAGTTCGAAGTTGTGAATACCAATGACAATCGCACACGCTTAGGGGCTTTGTTAGATAAGCATGTCATTGATATTACTTTGTATAGGAGCATGTGCGACAACTTGAAATTTATCCCATCATTGTAACCTCTTTTTCCGTTAATAAACTAATTTTTATTAACATTTTGCGTTAACTTTTGGATTAAGTTAATTAAATTGGGACTTTTATTTTGACTTCATAAGTGTCGGAACGCATTAGAAACACGTGAAAACACCCTCGATATTTATTTGGGAAATTTTTAGATACAACTAAGTTGGGTTACGACAATTTAATCGGGTAAAAATTGTAAACCCCGTTTAACGTCGGTATCGGGTATATTTCCACCGGGCCACAAACCCAAGCCTTATATAAAGGATGAGTGACCTTCATTTAAGCTTTTTACCCACCCTCATAACTTTCTCTCTCTACTCTCTCTCTAAAACTCGAGTTTTGATCCAAAAACACATCTTTAAGCTCCCAAAATCGTAAGTAATATATCCTAGCTTGCTGTTTAACTTGTTAAGCATGCAAATCTATGTTTAAATCACCCAAAACACTCAAGAACTTGTGTTTACGGTTTAGGAATACCTCCCAAAACCGTAAACTCCCTTAAAGGGGTTTTGAAGCCCCAAAACCCTTCCATATCCTTTCTAGTGCTTAGATATGACTTAAGGACTTGCATGTACGAGCCTAGAACACCAAAATCATGTCCTTTGGGTAGTAAACATGAGTTTACGGCCCAAGAACATTCTTGGACCGTAAACACACCTTCATAGACCATAAATACCTTTTAAGGTGTTAAATTGCCCCTTAAACACCACCAAAAGCGTCCATGAGTGCCTAGAACCTTATATTCCTTCATGTGATGCACCAAACCATACACAAATGAACCATACCTGAGTTTACAGTTTGGGAAGGTATCCCAAAACTGTAAACACCTCAAGAGGGTGTTTAAGTGCCCTTAACACCTTGAATGACATAGATTTGGGTCTAGAACTTTGCATACTTAACCTATAACCACCAAAACACATGAATCATAGACAAACATGAGTTTACGACCGTAAACTCATGTGTTTACGATAGTAAACTCCTCAAGTGTCCTTCAAGAACCGTAAACCCCTTTTCCAAGGTTATTTCAAGTCCCGAACACCTCCTAAGCCATGGAATCAACCCTAGAACCTTCCCTTGTGCATTGTAAGACCTTTAAACATCCAAGAATACCCCACCCATGAGTTTACGGCCGTAAACTCATGGGGGACATGGTCTTTGGGCTGTAAACACCCCTAAATAGGGATGTCAAAAAATACCGTGGGACCCCGTTCCCGTGGGGGCCCCGTCCCGCTTGGGGGATTTTTTTAAAAAAATCGGGGGCGGGGACGGGGGTGGGGGCAAGGTTAACCCCCGTTTTAATTTCGGGGGCGGGGGCGGGGGTAGGCAATCCCGTCCCGAAATCTCCATGGGGACCCCATTAATAAATTACACATATATTTACATATATT